ATGTTGCTTCATAATCATAATGGGAATGACAAACACCAAATCACTGCCAGACAAACAGTATCAATGTAAATATTTGGGAAATTATGACTTGTTTTATGGATGGCACATCAGTGAACAGAATACAGAGCTATTTTCTCTCCCAGTATTTGGCTGTGCAGTGCTAAGTTGCCCCAGAGTTTAAAGAGACAGTTTGAAAAGTAAAAATGGAAAAGCAGGAATATGGGCAGGTTACCTGGATTGGCAGCTGATTTATTAAATAGCAGCCTATGAAGTTGGTGAGATCTCCAGGAATCCAGCCCAGGACGGTGCTTGATCCACTCTTCCATTCTGGCAGGAAACGTGAATTTGGCTGGAACAAATTCCAGAAGAAATTGTAAAACACTGTAAGCAAAAAAAGGTTGAATAAGCTCTGAACTTCATCTTCCAAAACACGCAAAAAGAAAGAATCAAACTGCAGCCACAGGAGAACTATGACAGCAATGCTCCACTTCCCTCCTGGAGAGGAACTCGGGGTCACTGCAGCTCCCCATGTCCTGCCCCTACACAGAGGCCACAAATCACAAGCCCAACACTTGCACGTGCTCCTTGCTGGTGGCCTGCACTGAAACAGCACCTTCTGGCCACCAGAACTACACCAGAACTACACCCCCCTGCTGTAAATACCAGCCTTTCAAAGACTGGAAGAAGAAAAACCTCTGTTATTTCACACGGAAGGGCTCGGAACGAACAGAGTTGACAACTACACTCGAGGCTCTGAGCTGGAGAGCTGGGCCTCAGCTCCACGAGGAGGAGGAGGAGGGAGCAATCCCAAACCTGAGTCCACCACACACACCTGGATGAATTCCATGCTCACTGACATGTCAGTTTTAATGGAACACCCCTTTCCAATTAATATTTCAGCTCCCATTTCTGAAGCTCAACAACTCACCAAGCGTGGTTTTACTGCACTGGTTTCCACAGCCCTTTTTAGCAGTGCAGTAAATTATATCCCCCTTATGGGCACAGATTTGGAGTCCTATTTTTTCTCAGGCATTTTTACCTGCTGGGATCATTCCTACTTTTGCTTTGTCATCTCCTACCTACAAATGTGAAACCTGAAGCCAGTGACCAAACAGCAAGTGATTCAGCACTATGGAAGTGCCAGCTCAGGTACTGCTTCTGACCTTTTCCCAATCCAAATTCAAATGGCAGGAGCCAGCACGACAGGATCGGTGACAGGGCATGGGATTGAAATAAAACCTTGAGCAGCTTCTGCTGCAAGTGCATACACAACTCAGGGTGCAGAAGATAAGAGGGAAGAGGTGATTTATTCTCATTTGCTCTAAGTGGCAGAGATTAGTGTCAAGTCAGTACAACAGCACAGTACATCAAGCTCATTTGTCAACCACCAAATATTTTTGCAAACACGAACAAGATGCTTCTCTGGCATATTATATCTGTATTATGCAGACAGAGAAACGCATCCAAGATAAAATAACAAAAAAATAAAAAAAGGCAGCTTTTGCAAAAGGCTCCAGGCGAGATTACTCATGTTTGAGAAGTGCTTAAGACTGTGAACTCACGGCAGAGCAGCCAAGAGGAAGCAGACAATGGGAAGGAGCTCCAGAACTCCCCGCGCTCTCCACAGGCTCCTGCAGCAGGTGCCAAACCCAGGGGGTTCCATCGAGGCACAACCTCCTGTCCTCTGCTGGGGACACTCAGAGCCCGTGTGTGCAGCTGGGCAGCCACAGCTCCTGGACAGGGATTCAGTTCCAGGAGCTGATTTCTGCCTCCATTCCCACCCCACACAAATCCCCAAATCCGGTTACGGGTGCGGAATATCCTCTGTGGAGAGGCCTCTGCATCCAGGAGCTCACAGGGAGCTCCAATCCCAAACAGACCTGCCAAATTCCAAGGCATGAACACAGCCAGGGTGAAGGAGGCATTACCCACACGATGCTCGCTCGTATTTGCTGATTACAGACAGAAACTGGACTTCCAAGAAGGAAAAATACTTTGTGGTCCCTCACATTCATTAGCTCTTGATAAACAAGCAACACTCCTGTTCTGCATCACTGCAGCATTTCAGTCTGAGGTTGTGTTGGATGAGACTGGCCAGAAATCTGCTCCAGGACAAGCGAAACCAAGGAATTTGTTTGAATTTAAGACCAAAACTCTGATTTTCACTTTAAACGTGATGCCAATAAAGCCACAATGTTTTGTTTCAAGGTACTGGCCCAGATTCTGAACACTCTACTCACTCTTACAGAATATATTTACATAAAATATTTATATATTTGTTGCTTTCCATGCAACTAGTATCAAGGTAATGTTATGAAAACAAAGTCATTTACGACTCAGGTTCCAGGTAAGCTCTAAAATCTACTAAAATCCACTCAGCCCACCACACCTACCAGTGATTCAACACAGAGTCAAACAGTCTCTGTTATTTAATACTCTAGAGAAGAGATGGAAAGCATAAAAAGCTTGCAGAAGGCAAATGTAGGGTGATCCTGCCTCCAAAACCCCCAGAATGGAACAGAACAGTCCCACACAGCTGAAATTTTGAAGCAAGGGAAGGTTGGCTTTGACCTTTAAAAATCTTTTTGTGTAGTGAATTATAATAATTTTGGATATTTTTTTGTTCCTGCTGAAATATTAATGAGAAATGTTTACTTAGAAGGCTGAGCACTACAGAACTGAAGAAAATTTTAACAAAAAAGCAGAATTATCAAGTTCTACACCTCGAAACTTCCTGCTGACAAAACCCAGCTGATATCCTTCTTGCTCTCATGATGATTTAAGTCCTCTCAAGGTTAATAATTCCTCATTCAGAGGAGCCTAAGGGGAAAAATAACAGAGCAAATGCACTGTTATAAACAACCTAAAAAACCCAAAGTACTAGAGCAGCAGGTTCAGCTGTTTAGTATTTAAAGCCAGATGCAGAACCAGGCTGGAACCACAATTATGCATCAAACCACTCTCAAATCTTGATAAAGTTTCCAGGCTTGTTTTCATAGAGCATCATCCTCTGCAAAGTTAGGACTTACTTTGTTAGTCAGTGAGAAACTTTTTCTTTTCATGAGACTTCAGGTTTTTGTGTTTTTTAAATGCTGGAACAAGTTTTCTGCAGGAACTGGCTGCCTCTCCAGAGAACTGTCATCACTGGACCTAAAATAATTAAACAATACAAATACAACATATATTCACACGCTGAGAAGTCACCTGAGCCTGCAAGACATACTCAGTTTATTCAGCATTTATTTATGTTGGTGAAATTATTAGACTTTGTAGCCATCTTCGAAAATAACTTTTAAAGTTCAAAAAAAAATGCTGCAAATAATGTTTTAAGGTTTTTTTACGCCATTTCTGCAGCTGAGCAGACTCACTAAAATGGGAGAAACCTCCAAAAAATGGAATATGGTATTTAAAACCGTGTCTAAACACTGAGGTTTCAAGTGGTTTTTAAAACCATGACTGAATATCATGACTAAAGTTGGACTCACACATGCAAAAGTTCTGTTGTGAGATCCAGGACTGGGTGGCAGCGAGTCCAAAGGAGGCACTGCAGCTCCTCTTCTGCTCCAAACCCTGCAGCTATTCTGGAAAACCAAACAGATTAAAAAGTGGTGGGAATCAGCCACTTCCACTTCCCAGCTGAGCTTTGGCCTCCTGCCCCCCAACCCACTTCACACATTTCAGGCCCGTGGATGCTCTTGGGTTGTTGTTCCTTCACATTCAAGCAGCAGAATATTTGTGTTGCCAGTCCCTGGCACTATAATTTTAATATTACAATAATTACTGTTTTTGTTAAATCCCTGGTAAAATATTCTGTCCCAGGAAGAGCAAACCCAGGAATTCCACATGAAAAGAGGAGGAGGAGACTGCCAGGACAGTTCTTTTCTTCCTGCAGTATTGTTGCCAGTGATGAGAAAATCATAGAATCACAGAATGGGATGGGATGGAAGGGACCTTAAAGATCATTTAGTTCAAACCCCCAAATAAAAAAATGACATTAAAAGGTGATTTATATTCCTATAACAATTCTTTGCCTTCATATTCTCTGTTAGAAATAGTAGTTACTACCATTTGGAGAAGTCCCAGTGAAGGTGTTATTTTCACAGAACAGTTAACTTGGAACCTTGACATCACCGCTTTCTGCAAAGGTTTACTGTTTGTCCTGCTAAAAATAAAACTGGTTTGGTAAATATTTGGATATTTAGGAATACGGAGTCAGTAACTTGAGACTCTTGTTTGGAGACATTTCCCCATTTTAAGGCCCTACTCTGGAGTAAGTAAACAGAAATAGACAATGGTTTGGAAGTGAAACCCACTCCATTAAGGACAGCTTCACAGTGCAGATGAGGAAAAGCAAGTTTTCCTTGGAATTTGGGAGCCTTGCCCCAGCTCCTGCGCCTCTCCAGCTGCTCTAACATCCCAGTGCTGTTGTGTGTTCCTGGATGTCAAATACAGACGCTGCAAGTGATATGTGAGGATGTCACAGACGTGTGTCTGGCACACCTGCAAGGGCTCTAAATCCCTGTTAATAACAGCTCAACCCCCCAAAAGCTGCTCAGTTGTACAACATTCACCAATAATTACTCCTGGGGGACAGCAAAGGTGGAGCTGGGCTCCGGAGTGAATCAGGGCTCCTGCAAACACGTCCCAGGGTTAACCTGGTCGTTGGATTTTGGCTTGAACTATCCTCTAAAAGCATTTTTACGCACTCCTGACTGTGAACGGTGGCCGGGCAAATTCCATCTGGAAACCCATCCCGGTTCCCACGGAACAATTCCAGCTTATCTTAACCTGGGCTAGGGAAGGGGCAAGGGGTGGAACGAGACGGGCTTTAAAATCCCTTCCAACCCCAAACCACTCTGGGATTCTGTGATTCTATGCATCTATGATCTTATTAAAACTAATAAACCGAATAAAATCAGTGAAATACAGGGAAGCGCCTTTGTCCATCGGGAGAGCCCAGCGGGCATCACTTCCCTGGGAGATCCATCCCCGCGGGAACGGGGGGTCCCGGCGGCAGCACCGCCGCTCCCCTGCTCCCGGAGGGGGAACAAGCGCCGGGAATGGCACTGGGCACGGGAATAAGAGCAGGGAATGGCACCGGGAATAAGAGCAGGGAATGGCA